GACTTGGATTCTTAACTATTTTAAAAAACGCACTGAGTTTAGGTTAAAAACCAACCACCAGAATGGATTTCAACACAGCGCTCCAGCCGGGCGCCTGGTCCACCACCGTGACGCCTGGAGGTGGGTGCCTGCGGCCCACCTCCCCCTCAGCACTGACAGTGAGTCGATTTTTCTTTTCACAATAAAAAAAGCTGAGTAATATTGCATAGGAGTACCAGAAACTGCCTCGTGGAACAGAAACTATTTACATTAAATAAAAAGCCGGCCAGGCTGCGTCTGCACATTTACAGCGCGATGCACACGGCACCAGCCACGGAGGCAGCTTCCGGCACTCACACCACAGAGCCGCACGTTGCCACATGAGAGAAAGCGGGGGTGAGAGGGGAGTGCAGGGCTCACTTCTGGTTCCGGAGCTGATTGGACAACCAGTCCAGTCCCTCATAGAGCCCATCCCCGCTGGTGGCGCAGGTGGCCTGAATGTACCAGTTCCTGTGGCGGAGAGAGTGCAGCCCCAGCTTATCCGTGATCTCAGCCGCGTTCATGGCGTTGGGGAGGTCCTGGGGAAACGGGGATCAGTGGAAAGGGCCGTCCCAAGACAGAGTCGGTCCTATCCCCAGGGACCCACCAGCCCTCATCCCCAACGGGCATCTACCTGCTTGTTGGCAAACACCAGGAGGACAGCGTCCCGCAGCTCATCCTCAGCCAACATGCGCATGAGCTCCTCGCGGGCCTCATTCACACGTTCTCGATCGTTGCTGTCCACCACGAAGATCAGACCTGTGGGACAGTAGGTGTCATGCAGATGGGAAACATGGCCCACCTACCATGCCCACAAGCCCAGCTCCCAGGGTCACCCACAGCCAGGTTCCGCCACTTACCTTGTGTGTTCTGGAAGTAGTGACGCCACAGAGGCCGGATCTTGTCCTGGCCGCCCACGTCCCACACAGTGAAGCTGATGTTCTTGTATTCCACGGTCTCCACATTGAAGCCTGCAGGTGAGGGCAGGGTGAGGCCCCACTCGCTGCACCCACTCACCCTAACCCCCACTGCCAGGCGCCTCACCTATGGTGGGGATGGTGGTCACGATCTCACCCAGCTTCAGCTTGTAGAGAATCGTTGTCTTCCCCGCGGCATCTAGGCCCACCATGAGGATGCGCATTTCTTTTTTGCCAAAAAGGCCCTTGAAGAGGTTGGCGAAGATGTTCCCCATGTTTGTGGACAGGCGGCAGGACACTGGCCAGGGACACCTGGGAAGACAGGCGCTGAGTCGGCTCTGTGCCTTCTGGGGACCTGTGGTCAAGGAACCACTGCCCACTGAAGGAAACAGCCTGGCCCACCCCTCCCTCTGGGCCCTAAGCCAGGACTCGAAAAGCTGCTGCCCTCACCTTGGTGCAGTGCCCAAGGCCACTTGGCCAAGGAAGGCAGCCCATCTCCTAACTGCATACACTCCCCACACATGCATAGGAGAGGCTGTGGACCCCCACAGGGCCATCCAGGCAGGCTCATCAGCCAGTCCGAGCCATGGCAGTCCAGCCCACAAAAGCAGTGATTAAGGTGTGTTGCTGCCATGCCAGGTGACCTAAGCGCCAGAGCATCTGCCCCCCACAGTGACCGTGAGATCCCTCAGCAGAGCACAACACTGGGCACCAAACATGTCAGCCGGCAACCCCAGCAGAGCCCGGCCGCCTCTGGGCAGACAATGGGCCCAGGTCCTGCCTCACTATGCTGGGCACCTTTCCTCTTCAGGCAGCTCTGTCCCCAAAAGGGACTTGAAGAAAGGGTGATCAGCCTCTCAGACACTGCCTGCCTCAAACCCTGCCACTGGGGCTCCTGGGGCTTCCCTGAGGAAGCTTCTGCCACTGGAGATGCTCAGGCCTATGACCACATCCTCAACCAACCTCCCCTCCCAGGGTGCCCTGGCTGAAGGAAACAGCCTGGCCCACCCTTCCCTCTGGGCCCTAAGCCAGGTCTCGGGCAGTGGTTCCTTGGCAGCTCTGGTTCAGCTGTGACTGTCCCCAGTGACCTTATCATCTACCATGCCAGCTCTTACTGCCAAGAGATGCCTCCTTACTTGACACCCCGTAGACGATGATGGACCTGATTCCACCATTGTCCCAGATGTGGCAAATTCCCATCAAGCCAGATCAGCACCTTCAGACACTTGCTTCTTTTTGGTTTTGAACTAAATTACCAATTCAGAAATTCACATGAGTTCTGAAATAAACAGAGACCCTATCTGCAGCATTCCCTCTTCTGGGGAAACCAGATTTCCCAGGCACAGAGGAACAAGACTACCCAGAGGACAAAGGGGACAGCACATGGCCCATCTCAGTTCACTCACAAGCACTGCCAGTAAGGACTCCAAAAGGATGCACATGCCCCCAAGGACAGAAAGGGAGGGAGACATCTTACAGCCCAATGCTGACCCCTGGGGACACAAGGACAGAGCGGGGCTATCTAGGAGGGGCAACTGCGCCAGAGTGCAGGTGCCCACTAACTCCAAAACAGCCCAGAGAGCAGAAGACTTGTATGAGATGCTCTGAAGTCAAAATGTGACTGTCCCTTTGAGTCTACACCAAAGTACCAAAGGGCATCAGGGAAAACAAAGACAATACCCAACTCACAGTTCTCAGACTTCACCTCTGTGAGTCCCTTGAAACGGTCCCTAGGAACTCAGGAAGTAGGAGAGGACAGGAGCCCAAGGCACTGCAGTGGGAGAGTAGCAGCCCAGACACACATGGGGCACAGTATGCACACGTTCTGACCATGGGAGAAGCAAGTGACAGGGAACAGAGGAAACCCAAGCACGAAATGAAACAAGAGACCTTCCACAACTCACTCCAGGAAGGCGCAGGCCAGCGGGGACGACACTCAGGGGCTCCTGCCACTGATGGTGCCAGTATGGGGCATTGCCAGACCTGTGGAGGATGGCCACCTGCCCCTACAGGCCTAGAAGGAATACAACACGAAGACATGCTCACAGGGCCATTAGAAACAAGGGCCCCCAGGGAACTGACACAAATGCCTGGACACTCTCCACAATTCACACATGCAGGGAGACACCCTGCAGCCCCCACAGGAGGCACCAGATGCCCACAGTCCCAGGCCCTCCCTACATGCAATTCTTTTTTAACATCTCCAGGTGTGAGAGCCCTGGGGCGAGGCAGCCCACAGCTTAGTGGCACCTGGAGCCTTGGGCAGACATAGCATGCAGATACACTGGACCCTGCAGGCTGCACACAGCACTATTCACCATCCCCAGACCCACAATGTCTCTGTGAGAGGGAAGGGCCCTCTGGCACAGGCTCACTCTGCCATGCCCTGCCAAGTGCAGTGGCCCTTTCCCTACCAGAGTCCCCACATGCAGGCCAAACTCGCTGTTCTGGTTTCCTGGTGAGCCTACATTGAAGTAGCGCACTGGCTCTCGTGGCCTCACCCAGGTGCAGTGATCTCTCACACCATAAGAGGTCCCGTGGCAGGAAGGGCCATACCACAGCTTCTCTCCTGACTACTCTGTGGCGCCACTGCTGGCAGGAAAGGCCTTGAGGAACACAGCTCTCTCCAGGCAGGCCCAAGGAACAATGGCCCAGGGGAATTCCAGGTACAGGGCAGAGAACAGGACACCCCACATTCCTGCCACACCACTAGAGCAAGGGTCAGGAGCAGATGCAGTGCAGTGGGCCACACCTGTTCCATGGCACAGGAACAGCCCAGCCTCGTCTCACACACTGCCAGTGCATGAAGTGGAGTATCCATGTGACACAGAGGGCAGGAGTCACCAAACACGTAAGACTGGGTCCAAGTCCCTTCTCCACCAACCACCTGGTGGCAAACAGAACCCGCATGGTGTGTCCCACTTGAAGGGAAAGCTGACAACAGCCAGAGCTCTTGCAGAAAGCTTTCATTAAAGCCAAAGTCACCAGAGCATCCCTGACATATGGTAGAATGCAGGATCTACACGGCATATCACATCAGTTCTTGTGTCTCATCCAAGGAAACATCACAAGGACGAGACCCCCACAGGGAGTAACCTCCCAAGTCACATCACATAACCAAGGACACACAAGTCCACTTCACCCCAGCACACAGGAAGGGGTATTTCCTGTCTCCTGTGTGTGGCCATGAGTTCTCACCTGACAGGCTGTGTCTAGAGTGTTCCCTTTTGCCAGCACATGGGAGAGTGGAACATGCAACACTAGCAACAGACAGGCACACCTCGCAGAGTGCCAACACCATTGTGACTCAGAGACAGTCACCAGGCACACCGGGGGTGACAGCTGGAGTCACTCCCTAGACAACCAGGTGGATTGTACCTGCACTCACGAGAGAAAGACACAAGAGCTGCCCACTCAGAGCTCTGCCCTCAAGGCCTGCATCTGGGGCCAGATCCAATGAGCCTGTCATTTTAGAACACTCAGGTTGTTTCACAGAATTCAGGAAACACTTAAGAACCCCCTCGACAAGGGGACCCTGTAGAGGAGCCAGGAACCAGCTGGCACCCAGATTGTTAGCACCATGACTGGATCCAGGGGAATGCCTAACAGATCTCACTTTTGGTGGGGTGGAGTCCAGCTAAGATGAGATGGCTCCATCAGCCCAAGAGGCAGAAGCACCCTTCATCAGCATGCACATGGACACTAGACACACATAGCATGCCTGTGGCTCTGCCCCACATGAGTCCCTGGACTAGCACATGAGCGCCTGAGAACCAGGGTCCAGGCTGCACTGTGAGGTTCCCCTCAGACATGCCTCTCAAGTGTCCCTTCTGTCTGTTCACATAACTGTCCCCAAAGCACTTCACTAAACACATGCACACCCTTCTGAGATATACAGGTGTGCAGCTGAGTACACAGGTGGGCTACAGGACCACCTGGGCAGCACTGCCAGGGCCCCCCAGAGGCTGTGTACACACCCTTGTGAGCAAACCCTGCTTGCAGCACCGCAAAGGACACGGCGGGGCAGCCATGATCCTGCATGCAAGGACCTGCTGCTGGGAAAACCATGGACTAGTAGACACTCAACCAAACAAGCCCACAACACGTTGCTGCACAGCCGAACTGCTGGGATCCTGGCCACATGCGGAGGCAGCAGGGTAGTGGCAGGAGGGAAGGCCCTGCCCCAGGTCCCTCCAACCAGAGCCCCAGCTCCCTCTGACCAGAGCCCCAGTTCCCAGGTGAAGCCCCCAATCCTGCTGGAGATGCTTTCCAGATTGTAGGCCCAGAACAGCAAACCCAGGCTTCCACTCCCTGACCCCCCCCCCCCCCCACCCCGCCCAACAGTTCTGCCATGGACACCTCCTCCCAGCCCAGTGGACCTCTTCCACCATTGCAGGAGAAGCTTCCTGGCTCCTGGACCAGAGTCCCAGGTCCCTCCAGTGCCTGCCCCCCTCCCCCAGCCATGTTCTCAGCACAGAGGCCAGCCAGGTCTTCACAGTGACTGCCGCAACACATACATAATGTCCATAATGTGCTTCGAAACACCACCCTAGCATCCCAGAGGACAGCAAACAGACGGCATGAACGTCAAGGGACTTCATGACTGCACAGGAGGATCACCCTTGCCAGGATGCTTGTACCCTGTGACTGACACTGCCAACCTCAAGGACAGGTGTGCTCATGAAGTAACCGCTGTAGGCATGCTTTCTTCTGGAAACAACTCAGTAAGCTTCTGAAGAGAACCAAACATCCCCTCTTTGATTTACAAGGTGGCTGCTTTCCTAATAACCCAGCCCAGCTGCTGAAACCATGCAGATCCCAGTGTCTCGCAGCATACCAGGTCAAGTGCAGGACACGAATACACCTCTATCCTTGCGAGGGTCAGGCAGGATGCCACCATCAGAGCCCAAGGCAACCCCAGACTCTCAGATCCCTTCTGGGGCCACACAGCCCCCAGGGCCACCATAGCAGCCTCCCACCTCACGAGCTGCTCCTGGCAGGTTTCCAAACCCCAGCCCACCCACTTTGCACTCACCGTCCCAGGCCACCCCTTCACAGGGCTGCTCAAAAGGCACCATCAGGAGACATCTCTGCTCCCTGAGCAGCTTGGTGGCACCCACCCCAAGGCCCCACCCCGAGCAGGCCTTGGGCTTGGAGCAGGTTTTCCTCCCCACCATCCCACTTTCCTCTGCTGAGCACAAGCGATGGCAAAGGAGAGCAGAAAAAAATAGCAAGAGAGCAAGGACGAGGTACAGAGCTCCACAAGGCCAATGCACACTCCACGTTGTGCTTCTTCCCAAATCAGTGTCAAGAAAATCCACAGAACCAGCAAGGAATTTCATGCTGTTTAAAAGCTACACTGGCACGTGGCTCAGTCTGGACATTCTTTTGATGGTTCAATGTGGGAACCAGAGGTATAGATGCTATGAACTACTGCAGACAAAAGTGTGGCATCCCAGTGATGACAGACACAATGGGAGGGGGCACATGCACAACCCACTTTCTTTCATCTCTTTTTAAAGACCAGTCTGGTGCAGGAGCCAGAAGAGAAGAGCAGAACCAGAGCCCATCTGCAGCCCCAAGAGATGGCCCCACCCTCCCCAGGCCTCAGGTGGCTCAGGCAGGAGAGGTGCCGGAAGCTTTGAATATTTTCAGCTAAGTTTCACTACCAATGCCAGAAGATGCAGCGTTCTAACAAGAAACCGATCCCTGAGAGGGTTGCGTGAGGAACTGTGCAGCATGCGGGAGGCCAGGGCAGGCACACACGACGCTTCCACACCCACTCCGCGGAAAGGGGCCACCTGTCCCTTCAGCAAGCCCATGTGAAAGAGTCTTCAGACATGAAAGAACCTGAACCATGAGATCCTCCCACAGTGTGTGCAGTTCCCTCACAGTGTGCAGGGCTGAAGTATCACACCACGGGCAGCCCACAAGCAAGCCAGTACTGCTCTAAAGAGGACATCTCACTGATGAGAAAGTTTTCAGCTATAAAACATACTATTCCGGGAATACAGGAAACTCAGTTTCTCCTGCATCCTCACAACACAAGTTTACTCTGACACCAGATGTGGGGCTCTTCCCCCTACAAGTGAGCGAGCAATGAGTTCTGCAGTGGACACCACAATTCAATTCCGATACCACCTACCTGGAAACAGCATCAGAATCCACAGGGCAAGGGCTCAGCCCCCATAACATCCTGCTTCCGACGCCAAGCCCAGGTTATCTTGCCCATGTTTCTGACTCACAAGCTACAGCTTGGGGACCCCACGACTCTTCCTTGGGCTTCATTAATTTGTTAGAGCAGTTCACAGAACTCACGAATGCTCAGGTTTCCTGCTTTCTCATAAAGGGCATTGCAAAGGATATAGAGAAAGAGACGGTAAGGTGTCAGGTGTGGGGAAGCCCTTGGAGCCTCCAAGTCCTCCTGGGGCACCGCCCTCCAGGAAGTGCGCTGTGAGTTCAGCTACCTGGAAGCTCTCCAAGCCCAGGGCTTTGGGTTTTGATGGAGGCCTCATTACATAGGCATGAATGACTAAACCACTGGCCACTGGAAACCAGCTCAACCTTCAGCCCATTTCCCCTCCCCGCTGAAAGTCCCAATCAAGCTTTGGTCATTCCAGTGACCAGCCCCACCCTGAAGCTACTTAGGGGCTGCTAGCCACCAGTGGACTCATTAGGGCACAAAAAGAAACCATGTATGCCAGGAAATGGGAGGAAACCAGATAAGTCTTGCACAATCCCACAACCCTACATTTCTGACTTCCTGCAATGTGCACATGGATGGCCTCCGCCTCCCATCCACATCACTCCACAACCAGTGCACTTTAGGCTTCCCGAACCAAGTCACTCCCAAATGCAGCATCTGTGGAAATCTGCCCCGTTCATGCTGTCCCTGTCTCTTCCTGCTTGTCACACACTTTCCTGTCATCAGAGCTATTCTTCCCTGTGTGCTAGCTGGCAGCAGGGTGTGTAAAAACCAGGAAACCAGCAGCAGTCAGGGACATGGAGGAGGCTGGGCCCCAGGACTCGGAAGAGCCTGAGAATGGGCCCTGGGAATGGAATTGTGCAATGTGTCACTGCTCACCAGGGGTTTAGCAGTCACTAAACCTCCAAGAGTGCAAGGCAGCAGCACGCCCGTACCTGCACAGCTGTGCTTCAGGGGTGTACCCACTCACACCCACTGGCCCTTCACTTCCCAGCAGGAAAAGGCTGAGCCTTTCCAGGAGATTCCCTCAGAACAGCAGGCAGGATGTCTCCAGCACCCACCCAAGCAAGGAGGAGCCATAGCACAGAAAGGCCAAGGTGTCCGCTGAACCTTTCCAGCCTTCTCTCCCAATTACCTCCGACAGGGCACTTTACTTCCTCTTCCTCCCCATGGGAGTGAAAGGTTAAAGGGGAGAAGGCCTCTGAAGGGCAAGAGCAGTTTACATTCACAAAAGGTGACACTTCTCAAAAGAATCCAAGCAAGCCATAGTCCCACACAACCCTACGAACCTGCACGCAGTTTTCTTGGTCAGCTCTCCTTCCACACAACCTCTGCAGCTGCTACCCACAGCACACCATACTGCAGAGAAGAGCAAGGCCGGCGTTCCTGGCCCCGGTTGCAAGCCTGCATGTCCTACCACACGGTGCCGTCTGCACAAGGCTAGACCACATGACCCAGAAAAGCAGTGAGGGTCAGAACTGCTTCAGCTTCCCACTGCCTTTCTCCCAGTGAGGGGACCTTGTCTGTGAGTCAGCTGTGGCCCAGACCCATTGTTCTCAAATCTTTTCAGCTAGTGAGTCTACACACCTGCCTCCTGGCAACAGCAAACTCCTACAGCTGCGGGGTGGTGGTGGTGGGGGTGTTGGCTCAGTGGCCAACACACCTTAAGACAAGTGGCAGCTGCACTCCCGCCCACATGTGAGCTGAAGACAACACATCCCCGGCCACGTGGCCCGGCAGAGTTGAGATCAACACCTACACTGCTGACCCCTCTAGACACTGCCTGCACTCCGCTTGACAGCAATGCATTTCAGGAGCTTCAGTTCTGGTCCCTCGGGTGGTGCTGCTGAAAGTTCAAATCAAGGGAGGCCACCATTCGGCGGCCACATGTGCTGGACGACGGCCACCAAGCAGGGACAACTGTGCCGTGGCACCCTACACTGCGGAAAACGCCAGAACCACCAGCCTGTGAACAGCCGCAGGAAAACTGCTGACCACTAACTCCCAGCGAGAGCTCCTGCCGTCTGCCCAGAATCGGCACCCACTCTGCAGCTCTCACTACGGGGAACTTCTGACCATCCAAAGCCCCCCCTCCTGCCGTGATTTCGCATGCAATTCCGCTCAATCCTGCAAAGCGGCCTTCGCCGTCGGGACAGACGGGGCGCCGCCGGGGTCAGTCACCAGGACTCCGGGGCCGCAGATCTGGCTGTAACCTCATGGGCCACAGCACCAGGGCAAGCCAAGAGAAAGCGCCGGTCCGGTCCAGTCGAGTCTGCGCAGGTCGCTCCGCAGGCAGGTTAAAGGCTCATCAGCCCGGAAAGGCGCTCTTATCTACCCGCTCAGACGACGTAAGAAAACCATCGCGAGGTCAAAGCAAGGACCCACCGGGGCCTCGAGTGCCGACCCCAACCACGCGTCACAGAGCAATGGGCACTCCGGGCTCCCCCCCCAGATTCGCAGATGCACCCGCTCGAGAGCCCTGTACAGCATTCTGGGCGGGGCGCGGGGTCCCTGCCCGCCTTCCCCTCCCCCAGCGTTCGGCCTCGAAAGAAACAGGACCTGGAGTCGCAAGCCGAGGTGGAGAGGTGTAAGCCTTCACCGCTGGCGTGACCTTGACGGCGCCTCGGGACCGCCCGGGCCTCAGTTTCCCGGTCCCCGGGACCACCGCGCGCCCGGTGGCCGTCCGCCCGCCCTGGGAGTGGGAAGAGCTCCGCGACCTCGCCAGACCCCAGCGGCCTCCTCAGCCCACCATCACCTATCCCGCACCGGGCGACCTGGAGGAGAGGGGCAGAGGAGAGGGACAGGAAGCCCGGGCTTCCTGGAGGACAGCGGCGTCTGAGGCGCACTTCCGGGCACGGCGGGCGGGGGGCGGGGCGCGGAGAG